TACCACTATTTGAAGACTTTGAAACTATGCAATAGTTATAATGCACATAGAGAGCATGTATACACTAGAAAACAAAGCCTTTTTAGGAACACTAATGGTTCTGTACCGTGTACAGATTCCTCAGAAGCCATCTTGTTTGATTCAACAGGGCAAGTAATGTTCCAGCCAAATTTTTTTCAGTGGGGAAAAAAGTAAGTGTGGAAGTGACTGAAATTCTCTGCTGAAAATTAAACATTTCTTACAAAAATATCCTTCAAAAGGAAATTCAAATAAAAATGCATTACTTTTGTTGACCTCTTCACTGAGGAATAAATATACCCATTTCCGTTCTGCTCTACTGCTCTCACAGTCCGAACAGCAACTATGCAATCCTTCAGTCTTTGCAGACATATATTCTAATTCATCTAGAATTTTTTATCTCTTTCAAGTTTTATAAGCAGCAACTATAGAGTTTTTTTACATTTTGAGCTAAGATTTGGTAAGTCTTAACTGGCTTTTATAAATGCTTTGGTCTTTAATGCCAGTTACAAAGCAATAAAACATGAAGCAACAATTTATTTCACTTTTGCTCTTTGTACTCTGTGAGTTGTTCCACTGAAATCAGCTCATTTGGTGAGTACCAGTGGCAGAATCAGGTGTATAATTTGTAGAATAAAGGACTACTCACTGTGTGACACTTGGAAGAAGAGCATTTCTGCTTCCTGCTGTAGCCCCTTGGTCAGCAGCATTCACAAGAAAGCACAATCTCTGAGGAGGCCAGCAATGTCCTTTCTCTCTGTAGACTAAGTGGAAAGCAGCCGTAAGTTTTGAATCGGTCTCCAGAAATCCATTTGAAATTGAATACATACCCAGCACTTACGGAACTCTCCATGGGGTATGTGATCCTACAGCAATAGGCTGGTTGCTAAAAGGTGGATGCGAGGCAGTGTTTGACTGTAGGGAAGTTTCTGGGAAAAAAAATACTGTAGATAAAGCTAACAGTTGCTAATCATTCGTTCCGTTGTTAACAATGTGTAAACACACTGATCCTGAAGAAGATTGTGAAAGAATGACTGCCTTTCATGGATCACCTGGACTTTAAGTTGCATGTTCAGGGCTTTCTAACAAGGACTTGCACTCAGGGTGGCACCAAGCTGGAATCGGGGCCTTTTCAACGAGGCTGTCTGGCTCCTGGATGGTTTACTCTTCCAACGTCGCTTCCCAGCATGTGTGATGTGCTGTGCTGGGCAGAGGAGTTGGCGAGAGGTGTGCGCTGCCTTACTCCTCCTGAGTAACAGGATGCAGTAAGAGTGAGACCCTTCCCTGGCTGTGTGCATGAAAAGGAGGTGGACGAGAAACCAAAGTGGGCAATAAATGACACAAATACAGACATAAATGCTCTGCTCTGAATTATGGCATATTTCAGTGTTGAAGCTATGTTTTTATTTAATTGAGCAAGAAGAGTTTATTTATTGCTGAAGAATGGATACTGTATGCCGTTTGCTATGCAGTTTCACACAGCTGTTACTGAGGTCTGCTGCAGTTTTCCTTTAAGCTTTCAGGTGTGATTTTTAAAAGCATCTTGTTGCTGTTTTACTTAGAATACTAATCTTACTAGGAGATCTTTATTAAAATGCCAAATGTAAGTTAAAGGGATGCCGTCAAATGTTTTAGGCTAAAATATGACATCTCTGCTCAGAAGTATTTATCTGTAGTCAGAATCGTTTGACAGGCTTGCCTCTGGATTTCTTCTCTGCATCCTTGTTCTTAAGATTTTTTCACTCAATAGCAAATATTTTTAAGGCACCATTTATTCTTAAAGAAGCTGACTCTGTGTAGTAGGCCAAATTTTTGCAAGCAAGTTTTTCGTGTAGACAGGCCTGAGGTTTGCCAAAACCTGTGTTTGGAAGGTGGGTAATAAAAACACTGGATGATTTTCTTTTTAGCATTTGAGTCTTTCTGTTAGCTTTTCTTCAGGTTTTCCTGTCACATGAGAGACAAGAAACCTGGCTTTTTTGCTCTCCAAAAGAGGACTAAGAGGAGGAGGAGCAAGAACCTATAGGTTCAAGATAACAAATTATTGTTTGCTTCTCACAGAGGAGAGCATTTAAACAGAAGTCATTTCAGAAAAGCAAATATTCCATCAGGTAGAGATGCAACAAGTGGACATGAGCTCAGCTGTTGGAAGGAACTGTTCAAGTAAGGGAACCCATTGTGTCACCTAGATGAGGGAGTCTTTTCCACCTCTGGGGCTGTGCAGAGAACACAGCAAAGAACACGTTCTTGTTACAGAGCTGTTGTGTGACTGTCCCAGATCATTTATTGCTGGAGTCACGGGGCCTTGTTGTAGGACTGCCCACAAGCATAGGTTTGTGCAAGAGACTTCACTCAAGCACTTTATACCCTCATTTGTAAAGAACCTGTTCATATGAGGTATGCCTTCAATGCTGATAAATCTGTTTGCCTACAGAGGTTCAGGTGTTTTGTTGCACTGGGCCTTTGGTTAGAAGACCATCCCCTGCAATACAATTAAGAGAAATACTTAAAATCAATCACAAAACTGATTTAAGGGGATGTCACGTCTGTGACCTTTATATACAAAGAGTGCATAAAAAGTCAGCATATCTAATTGGGTGTTTTTTTCTGGGTGCTAGAATAAGGAAGGGTAATCTGTTATTTGTTAGGCAGGGATTTATGCAGAGGAAAGAATACAGTTATTTTAAGAAAATGACATAATTCCTGTATTCAGCATTACTCAATGCTGCTTTATGAGACATCACTGAGATTTGCACAGTAAGAAGTAGCACCGCTTCAGAAGCCTGAATTTGCTCGTTTTAAAAATCAAAATTGCACTGTAGTTTTAATTATACTCAGGCACTTATATTGTAAGTTGTTCAGAAACGTTTTCTGGTTTTAGCTGCCAAAGAATTGCAAATCCATTCACATCAAATTTCACGTTCCACGAGGGGGAAAAAAAGAGATTTATGTATCCCAGCATCTGTGCAGTTACAGAGGTGTAGACAGTCATGTACTGGAATGTTTGTTTCTTGATGCTTTTTTTTTTCCTTTTATAACCTCAGGAATTAAAAGAAATAAACTTCTTTATCATCCAGCGTGTATGTCTGCTTTGTGCCAGGCAGAGATGGCTTTGTCATGAAGATAAATCAGATCTACTTCTAGGCTGGAAAAACGTTGGGAAATAAGGAAAAATTAGAAGGTGAGAAAATAAGATTGAGTCCATTTATACTGAACGATTGTGCGAGTGAGAGGCATTCTTTACACATTGTCTCTGCTTCTTGCCTTGGAGGGGTTGGAGAAACATCTGTTTGCATTTGTAGACTCGGCCCCATGTAGGCTAACCTGAGCTGCTGGGGCTGTCGGAATGGGGACAGGGGGCCCCACCACCATCAGTCATCACTTCTTCTTTTCAGTTGCTGTGTCCTCGTAGATTTCTTCTGGGGGCTGCAAGAAGAAGCTCAGAGGCACCTCTGGAATCAAGCCTCAGCCATGCTTAGCATGGAATACAAGGGAACTGCAAAGACCAAATACATCCGAGCTGCTGTGCAGCTCTAAAAGGGAGGCTGTAGCTGTTGAAAGTCTCTGTGTAAATCTCCAATAATCAATTCTCAGCCTTATTAAGCAATGCATCCTCCATGCTAAAGGCAAGATAATCTGAGCCCTAATGCTGTCTTACATGGGATTTTAACCCACCTATGTCCTACTGTCAATCCCAGTTATCCCCAATCACCTTAGCACACCCAGTACAGCACTGCTGTGTGGACCATGTGAAAGTGTATGGCTGCACGGGGCAATGATATACTTTCCATTAGTCCTTGAATTGTCTCTGTGCAGGCCAAATACAAGGTTTCAACATTCCTATAGCCCAGGCTCAGAAAAAAAACAGCTCTCAAGGGCATGGAATCTATGGTGTCTGAGCAGTGAAGTCACAGAGTGTTGATCCAGGTTGTACCTGGAAATGATGATTTTACGTGTACCAAACTCACATCAATACTTCAGGTTTCAGTATGAATACAACCATACTATGTGGTGTGACTTCAAGCGATGTTTGCAGCAGCCATGGCGATCCTCACTGTCCCATAGTTGCTCTGCTCCCTGGAAGAGGCAGAGGCCGTATTCCTGTACCCCCCGTCTGCGTTTGAGGTGGGAGCTGCTGTTGGTTGAACAGGTTTGTCTGCAGGAAGTGGCATTTCCTCCCCAGCTCTCATGTGCTTCCTCTCTTCACACCGCAGACAGGCTGCTGCGATGCTACGTGACAGCCTGACGGTCGTGGCCACCTCTGGGGCCTTTGAGACATAGAATTAATGGCAGTTCAGAGTTACTGGCAGCAGTCCCCATTATGGCACGGCTTTGCATGGTCTGAGGAATCTAGGAATGAGGCAGTGGGCTCCTGGCCTGCTTGAGGCTCTTGGAAGCCTGCAGCCATTTCACCGAGACCTCATTTTATGCACACAGATGTTTTTGTGGGTGACTGAGGCAAAACCCAGCTGGCTGACTCACAGGGCCTCAGGAGCACCTGGCTGTGCTGCTCTGCTCTCTAGTAGATGGAGTGCCTCGTCCTCGGCTTGAGGCCTCTGGACTGTAACGCCTAACAGGTGCTGAGGGGTGAAAAGGCGAGGATGGGGCCACACTCCAAAATGTGATGTGACACACAGACAGCACAGAGGCCCCTGAGGAGCAGCACCTCCGTGCTGAGCCCCGCTGGGAGCGCGCACTGCAGGCGCTGCCTGACTCAGAGCGGGACGTGACCGGGGGACGACCCGGTGCCCCGACCTGCTGAAAGTTCAGCGCCATGTCACCAGCCTCAGCAGTTTCACTCGCCGGCCCCGCATGAGAATTTCCCACTGCGCTTTTGCTGCGTGAGGACACAGCACTCACCTGTGTGCTGAAACACGAGCATCCATCCCTCTTTGCTGCCCGCTGCTCACAGCCACCAGGAATTCCATGGCTGAAGCTTGCACAGCTGGTTTTAAGGAGGACAGCGTTTCGGGTAAGTCCTCTTGCTTTCTTGACTTCTCTACTTCACTGACACTACTTCACTATGTTGTGTGTCTGCTGTCAGTTACTGGGAATTGCAAACATAGGGAGGCTATTTGCTTCTCCTCAGACACGGGAGGAAACAGGTTGGGTGTATGGACGCAAAGATGGAGCTGGTTTGTAGGCAAAGACACCACCAGTCCATCCCCGCGGTGGATGTGTACGTGACAGTGCTTTATTGAAGGGAATTTCAGCTTCTGCTCAATTTGAGCTCCACACAAATCACAAACGCCGCCTTTACACATACAGGAAAAAAATGCATGTCTCTTTCAGCACTTATTTCTCTAAGGCAAAAATGAAGAACAATAAAAAACACTCAAAACGTATGTCAAAGTAGAACCCCATCTACCCACATGTACTGTGTTAGTTAGGAAAGCAGTGCCAAGCCTTGCAGAAAACTGGTGTTTACTCAGATGCTTTAATGAGTGATAGTCACCTAATGCCAAAGCAGATTATTAAAATAGGTTATTTACAAGAAAGCCTCCTGGGCACTAAAACAAGCAGCATAAGCTTGGGGTGCTTGGGGCGGGAATTGGCACTGCTGGGAGCCTTGTGGTGCCGCAGACCTCCCGCACCCTTATGGTGCCAGTGTTGGCCCATCTGCAGTTCCCAAGAAACTGGTAGGTTTGCTGCAGCTCCCACCTAAACGCATCTTGTACCCCACCAGCCCCAAGAGGAGATTCTCAACCAAAATGTTGCTAACGATAGGTTTGAGATCTTATGACTCTCTGTCTCATCAATTTTGGGTTAAACGTCTTTTGTTGTCTTTGCAAAGGTGCCGTCATTGATGGCTTGTTGAATCATCAGTTTGGGGTTTAAGTGCTTGGGGACAGAAAACTCAGAGCATCCAGTGGCCTTGAATTCTTACTGCGAGTTGTGGCTTGTCAATGCAGAGAAATACAAACTGCAGCAAATACGTTGCACCTGCTCTCACCCTACACCAAAGAGCTAAAATACAGGAGAAGGATTTAATTCTGTAGTGAGTACAGAATATTAGCTTTCCTTTGACCGTCCCACAAAGCAGCATTGTGTCCATTTGTGCATGGAGCAGCCTTCACTTTCTGAAACCAGGCAATGGCCAAAAATTGAGTTATCATGGAGCCGTCCTGCAGCAGGGGCCCAGCTCCTTCTCACCACTTCCCATGGATGGAAGTGTGGTTCATCCTTACATGATGTTCATGGCTTTTCTGAGAGGCTTGCTATTTGGGCTGTGTTTTGAGCAATGGATGGGTTCTAAGAGCTGCCTCAGAGATAGCTCTTATTCCTTGTCAACTTGGCTCACAACATGCCTGGCTCCAATTTTGCTGCATGGTGCAGAAGGTTTCACTTCTCTATGTGAGCGAGGCCTGGTCTGGCTTGGCAGGGCACGAAGGAAGCACATGTAGGGCCCTCAGTGTCCCAGCTCAGTCCTGGACAAAACCAAGGAGGCCAGTCCTCCTCCAAGGCAATCTTTGGGGTGCAGGAGTGATGTCTAAAAGGACATGCTTGATAACCCTCAGGAGACACTGGCTTACACAAAGACTTGGCATGAGGCAGGAACAACAGAGGAGGCCAAATGGGTGCTGAGGGTGAGTGAGTTCCTCACCCGCCGCCGCCCCAGCATGGCAAAGGACCAGTTGGAGCTGTGCTCCTGGCTGTCACCCAAGGAGGAGCACTGCTCCTGGCCTCTAGACCAGTAGCGGCCAGTGCTCCGCACCATTCTGACCAGTGCCATCCTGAAACGCTCCCCAGCAAAGACATAAAGGAATGGGTTGAGGCAGCTGTGGAGAAAGGCGATGCTCTGGGTGACCTGCAGCCCAATGTCCAGCCCGTTGATGGTCTGGCAGCTGTACACCGCCCCGGTGTACATGTTGATGGTCTTGATCAGCAAAACGATGTTGTACGGGAACTGAGAGAGAAGAAAGGCAGTGATGATCATGGTGATGATCTTTAATGATTTCTGCTTTTGGCATCTTTTGGCTTGGAGGAGGGTGTGGATGATCAGGGTGTAGCAAATAACCATGACTAGAAGTGGGAGGAAGAAGCCTATAGTGACCTTCAGAGCCAGGACGGCAACTCTGAAGGCCATGCCAACGTTGGGTGGGTACGCCATTTTGCACACCGCCACAGCACCGATCTGCTTGCTCTGGCTGTACATTATCTCAGGGAGGCACAGGCTGACAGATGCCAGCCAGACAGCCAAGCACACGAGTTTGCTGCGCAGGATCCGCCTTTGCTTGGAAGATTTAGCTTTTGTTGCTTGAACAATGGTGATGTACCTGTCAAAACTGATGCATGTTAGAAACAAGATGCAGCTGTAGAAGTTGATCTTATACATGCTATTGACGACTTTGCACATGAAATTTCTGAAGATCCATCCGCTGGAGGCAGCCGTGGCCCAGAATGGGAGGGTGAAAAGGAGGAGCAGATCTGCAACAGCTAAGTGCAGCAGGTAGCGGTCCATCATGCTCCTCCTGAAGCGGTATTTGCAGTAGATGAGAACGACCAAGGCATTTCCCACCGTGCCCACAAAGAAGATGAGCCAGAAAAACACAGGCAAGAAAGCTCGAGCAAACTGCCAGACCTGCCTCCTGTCACACATGAGCTCTGTGTCGTTGGCGGGGTTCCCAATGACAGACAGCCCTGCGCTGTCATTCCTGTAGTAATCCAGGCTGGTCTTGCCAGTGTGGGGAACCTGTGGTGGGACACTGGGTAAATTCACATTGAGGTGGCCCGTAAGAGCATAAATTCACCAGATGTAGCTTAAGATCCCCAACATCACCCATTTTAGTTGGGAAAAGCCATCAGCAAAACAGTGGTTTTCAGATGGCTTGTAATGCACCCACGCCCAAGAGAAGATTCAAATACATAAAAAATCCAGACTCAGAAAGATGTGGGGAAGAAAGCTTTGTAACACTGCTATGGTGGGGCAGCACAACTGGCTCTTGGGAATAGAAAACTGATGTTGGGGGAAGGAAAAAATGAGATTACATAGCAACATTTGTGTGTACTCACTGTGCTTGCAAGTGCCATCTTTGCTCGATTTTTTCCTTGTCTTGAAGGAGATACTGCACTCTGGAGAGAAAAGATGGGAGCAAAACAATTTGAAATATCTCTAAAATAGGACTGTGACTCTCCAATTATTTTATTTTAATGTAAGCCTCAGTGGGATTCTCAGCTAGCTTTCTGAACTGAAGCTTTTTAACCCTCTTAGATGTGTCTGGCTGGTAGATGGGCAAACCAAGTAGAAACCAATGTCTCTGAGATGTTTCCATTTTGCTAAAAGATGGGCAGAAAAGATCCTTAATGCAGGAAAAACTAAGGGTAAATTAGGGCCTCAGCTTCTCTCTGCTGCTGTGCCGATTACACCCTTTGACTTACTAGGGTCAGTGTGATTTCATTTTTAATAAGACGTACAGTCCCCAGTGCGCACATCAAAAAAGAAAGCCATCTCAATGCGCCATAACTTCATGAGAATGTTTAACGTCTCTCACGAATTGTCTAGCAACTAGCAAGGAAAAGTACCTGCCTTATAAGGGTGGCTTGCAGCACTAAACTATTTGCATCCCCTGCACTCTGCCTGCAGCATCTCCTATCTGTTGACTGCCACGCTCTTTGCTGGGCCCCTCGCAGCAGCTTTTTATGGCCCCAGACACTAGAAAGACTTTTTTACTGCAGATTGCTTTGTACAGGAGCCATCACAAAAGTCAAATGAGCCAGGTCACACAGCCACCACTGAGCTCAGCCTTTCCTTGGGGGAACAGCCCACATTCAGATGCTTTCTCTTGGGTTTCTCCCATGCACCAGCCAAAAGTACCGTCCCCAGTGTTAACCAGGGCAGGAGCTGATGCAGCAAGCGGGTCACCTCTGCATCTTGCACTCATGATGGCTGTGCACTGCCCAGCATAGGATGTTTGCAGCAAACATTTGTGAGGTTCTGGAATTTAGTCTAAAATGTAAAGTGGTTGTTATCGGATATTGAAAGCACAAACTGGGGACCAAGCCTTTTATTTCTGTCTCCATGCAGTAACTTCAGTGAATATGGAATGAGATTTGCAGCACAAGCTCTTCTCAATGAAAGAACAGAGTACTGAGAGGAGATTGAAGAAATAAAAATAGCCACAAGCATGTGCTCATAGTTCCTTGAGTTTTCTACCAAGACACAGAACTACATGGAGGATTCTGTTGGCCCCTGGAGGATCAATTACAGATATCAATTTGGAACAATGTCATCCATGCCCTGACACCCAATTTTTAAAGTGCAGAGCTCAAGCTATAAGGAGCTGTTTGCCGTCTATCCAAAGCAGCCTGCCATGGAAAGTATGTGGCCAAAGCATAACAACGCAGCTGAGTGGCTCAGAATTCACACCAGCAAAAACAGGCTGGAAAGAAACGCATCTGTGTAACACATACATTTAAATATTAAGACATAGCAATAAAGACCAGCTGTAGCTTTGTACATGCAAACGATGATGGGCAGGGCCGCGTTAACTGGAGAAAAATGTTCTCATCCCTGTCGCACATGGCAAAGCCCCCATCCCCATCCCGTTCCCGTCCCCACCTGGCTCCAGCCGTGTTGCAGCACACAGGCTCACTCACATCACAGTAAATGCAGAGGCAGTTGGAAATCAAGCTGGGTTTGTACTGTCTGAGAAGCAAAGCGTTGCGAAGTCAGCTTCAAGGCAGAAGAAGCACTGTGCTAACCACAGCAGTGGCCTCTCACTGGGGTTTTGCCGCTGTGCTTGCCAGAGGTTATATTAATAGTAGCAGTCATTTGGTTTGGGGCATAATGGCCATTCAGATGCTACAGTGAGCACTTGATTTTCTCCTGCAGTGACCTCCTACCTGCTGCAGGCTTCAGAGTTCCTCAACACATCCAGATCTCCTTGCAGAATTGGGAGATTTCACCAAAACTACCCATGACCGGGCCAGACCTCAAGAAATAAGCTCTAAGAGCTCAGTGTGCATTGGTGAGTGCAGGGAGCAAGATGCCTTCTCAAGGCCTTGTTTCCAAAATGTTGCTCTGGCATCTGCCGGTTGGTTGTAGTCACTCTGGGAGCACTGCAAAATACCTGCATTATCTCCTACTCATCTTGGTTGCAATAGAAAAGATCCATCCTAACTTTGCAAGGTCAGTGGCTGCTTTTCCAAATTAAAGAACCTGTTTGTAACACAGATTCCTGTCCACTGAGGAAAGTGAGTTGGCTGAAAGTAGGGCACTCACCGGTGGTCGCTGCAGGGAGGTCGGCCGCACCGCTGCACGCCCTGCTCTGCGCAGCCACGCTGAGCCCCAGGCTTTGTAGGCTGCGTTGGGTGTGTGCTCCTGGACCCAGGCCCAATCAAACCTGTGAGTGGCTGTTCTCTCTGTGGTTTGCATGGTTTAGGTGGCTCAAACACACATGGGTTTTTTGTTGTTGTTGTTTTTTTTTTTTTTAATTTTTTTTTTTTTTTTTTTTTTTGCTGTTGACTTTTCTGGTAAGCTCCTTCAATAACAAAGGGGAGATGACTCTTTTATCACTATTTCCAGCTGAGATGCATCAAGAAAAGCAGGGGCTGCTGCCAGCATGGTCACATCCCAATGAACAAAACAATCACCGTGAAAAAAAAATCCCCAAACAAGAACAGGGTCACCCTGGGAGCCACCAGTGTGCCCAGAGAGTGAGCAGCCCGGTCCCATTCTTCTCACTCTGAGTTGGCCCTTGGCCACAGACACTCAGTGATACAGTGCCACTTGCCAGTGGCATCTGAGTGTGTCCAGAGGATGTGTCTGAACGCATCAGGGCAGCTTGGTGTGTGCAGGAGGGTGCAGAGTCACTCTGCGAAACCAGGGAAGCATAGGGCAGGACTGCAGGTAACAGCAGGATCCTTTTGCTGGTGGCACACCTTGTGTGAGGGCACATAGAAATTCTGATGAGGAAAGAAGGGATAAGTGGTAGATAAATGCATGAACCTGCACATTGTGCACATCGGCATACAAATCACATTTATGTTCCCTTCTCTTTAGGACCCCCCAGCACCATGATCTTTGCTGAACTGCTGTACGGCTGATACTGGTTTCACTCATCCCCAACAAAATTTCCTCAATGCCATTGAGGCCCAGCTCTAATTACTAGCCAGTAATTAAGAGAACAGCAACAACTGGGAGAGACCCTGGGCTGAACTCAGCTGTCATTGGTACCATCCTTCAACACTGCCATTATTGTTGCCTTAAGGGCCAAGTGTGGCCACAGGAAAGCACCAGGTGCTGCTAATGCCTTCTGCTCAGCAGCAAAACCTGCCTCAGTGTTCTTCCATCACTAGAAGGAAGAGGGCAAGGACAGGGATTTCCAACCATACAGAAAGTGTGTTAAAATCAGGCAAAGTGCTCAGCTGGTTTGTAGGTGGGAGATGAAAACCCTCAGAGAAGCAAACAGGACCAGGGAAAAAAAATTAAATCTTAAATCTCAGAGACCAGAGCATGGGCTGTTGTTAATCCTGCTGGTTATTTTTTTCCTACCATGCCCCATTTATTGTCATTGCAAACATGACATTTTTGTCCACCACAGTGGGAACTGGGCCATAATGGCTTGAACATTACACATCTTGCCACATTGCTGTCCAATCGCATACATACCCACGCTTAGTGCTGTCCACACATAATAAGCCTCAAAGCAGATCCTGTAATTTCCCTTCAGCTCATATCATTATGAAATTGAGAACCACTGCTTTCCTCGCAAACATGCTGCTTTCACTCCTGCCAAAAGAACTTGAATTGCAGAAGTTTTGTTTGTTTAACATATGTGGGAAACAAAGACCACTAGCATTCCTTATGTCTTCTTTCTAACTCCAAGGTGTTTAATTTAAGACACAACTTGGTAGAGAGCTTTGAACTCCCAGTTTATCCCACATATTAGCCACAGAGATGCGCTCGGCTTGATACGCTCATCAGTGCTGGAAAGATTTTGCAGAAATAGGCCATAGCTTGGGGTTACACCCTCTTCTGGGGCTGACCTCAAAGTTTCATTTTTCACAGCCAAAACTGTACTGTGCTCGCACTGAATCTGAACTGAAATACACACACCCCTCTGGAAAAAAAATACTGATTTTCCCCTGTGCTCTGCTTGGCCTTTTTATGGGAGGCTGTGGCCAGAATTGGCTCTTGGTGCTATAGGAGTCCTCTGGCCAGCAGCTGTGCCATGTTCCCGTGGAACTTCCCATATATCATGTGTCTGCTTCTGGCCTCTGCCATGAGCACAGAGTAATTAAAATGATCAGACTTGTTTGTGAGTTAGATGTCAATTTTTGACATGTTTATGACCTGCTTGTTTGGGGTTTGTTTGAGGGTGCATCCTGTTTTTACCACTTTCCTCACTAACCCAGTTGCAGGTGGAAGTGCAGGCTGCCTTTCTGTGACTCCGAACCCAGACAGAACATGCTGGTGCTCCAGAAAACCAGAAACTACCCACTCTGTCCTGTGAATGCATTAAACATCCAGGCTCCCAGGGCAGCAGTCATGGTACTGAGTTCAAGAAACATCTGGAAAGCACACTAAGCCACATTGTCCGATTTTTGGGTGGTGCCATGAGGAGCCAGGAGTTGGATTCAATGATCCTTATGGGTCCCTTCCAACTTAGGATATTCTATTGCAGTTCCAGCTCAGTTCAGACCAAGAGTAGGGTAAGCTGCCACTGTGGGTGCCATGAAATAGGTGATTTTTCCTTTGGTTGATGATCACTCTGGTGCTCTTTATCACTTTTCCTATCCTCAGACCAGCCAAGCTGAATGGGAATAATGTCTGGGCTGTGGCTATCAAAAGGCAGGCCCTGCTATCATGCACCTATCTGCACCATCACCAAAAAGCAACCTTTACCATGTCCAAAAAGTCTCTACCTTCTTTCTATTTACATAGAAATGTAGGGACTCCTTAGCTGAGAACTGAGTTCAAAAGGCACTTGAGTCACTTTGGTTGTCATCACTTTCTCAACTCTTACTCAGAACTGCACTCCTCTGCCTCTGCCTAAACTTTTAACCCCTGAGAAGCATTTCTTTGTAGTTTGGAGCGCTATAATGTCAACAAGATAGCATTCAGCTGAAAAAAACAGGCCAAGTCTCAGAGAAGTCCATGTATGAAGGCCAAGAAGAACAGCTGTTTGAAGCTAGCTGCAGAGAAATGCCAGGGGAGCAGCAACAGCTGGCTATGACTGCAAGCTGAACAATGTCAGACATATTTATAAGGGTGAAGAAGGTGCAGCCTTCTTAGTGTCCTACAAAGCATCATAAAAACATTCTCTTAGCAAGGTTACTGCTGAAACCCATAGAAGATTTGGTGGCAAAGAAAGCAGACCAGAGAAAGGCTAATTACAGGATCCCCACAGAAACACCAACCCCTGACTCACTGGCCTACCTCCCAGCAGTGCTATGAAGGGGGGCTCTCAGTCAGTGCAGTGCTGAGGTGAATATTTCCAGGAGACAAAGCATTCAGCCTGTAGGTGAGCATCCTCCAGCAAAGCAGGCACCATGACTGCCAGCACACCTTGCTATTGGATGCTGTGGGCCTCAGCACATCGGTGCCTCAATGCAGTTAGGGATCAGAATAACCAGAGTTATGAGTTAGATTCTGCACACTCACAGCTGTTTAAGATCTCATATCAGGAAGGAGGGCACATCAAAATACTGATTTGTGTTGATTTTTTTCTTTCTCCTTCCTTAGAGAATTACTTTCACTGGGACAAAGTACAGGTCTTTGGCTTCCTTTGGTACTACACCATTCAATTCAGCCTTCATGCAAGACTCTGGAAGGTGTAGAAGCGAGGTGAACCTGAAAGGGCTTTGTCCTAAATCTGATAGCCTTGTCACACTAAGAAATATTCACTTGCTGAGGGACTTCATGTGTCCCACAGTAATGCTCAGACTGCATGATTCTGAAATTGGCAGGAGCTCACATAGTCCTCTGGGAAAAGTTATCTTCTGAAATACAGTCACAAGCTTTTGAACCCCAAGCATTAAAAAAGTAAAACAAGTAAAACACCAGAAAATGTCAATAAAGTATCTAGCGTTGTGAGTGCAAGGAATGAGATGATCTTTAAATAACCCTTCCAATCCAAACCATCCTATGATTCTATCTTCATGTCAGCTGGATCTCTAGGTGCAGGTATGTGGTTGCATCAGCCCACACTTCTCCCACAATTGGCTGCTTGTTCCCAGCTCCACTCAATCTTTTTCAGGGAGCCAGATGCTGTAACCCAGAACTCCATAAATAATCTATTACCTTCCTATTTGTAGTGTAACTTTTTATGAGAGGTCATCACCCTTTTTACCCACTGAAAAAAGCAATTGTGAACTCCCAGATAAAAGGAGTGAGCAATACTGAAAGTAAAGTTACATCTGTGGCTGCATTGGCTGTAGGGCCAGCTCATTTTGCAATTCATCACAGATTCAACTGCATCCTTCACCTGCTCATTAAGCCACAAGCCATTAAGTGTGGTTATGAGATACAAAGCTTGTGAAACTCCCTCTGTTGTAGGAGAGAGGTGGGGAGAGGAAGGAAGAGCCCCATTTACAGATGAAGTGCCATTTCCTAAATTCACACCATCCAGCAGACACCCAGCATATAAAATGAGCATTTTGCTTGACAACGTAGAAACCTTCCCAAAATGTTCTCCCCCAGCAGTATCTTCAAAGGCACCACAGTGAGCTAAAGAAGCAGGCTTTTGCTTCTTGGGTCCCCAGGAACTTGGGAGACCACAGTGTGGCTTCCCAGGTGCATCTATGTGTGGGTATCCATAAATACCCTTCACTGTGCAAAACTGAGACAGCAGATTGGAGGAAAACAGAAGAGCCAGGTAAGACTGGACCAAGCTATGAACTCTCCTTAGGATGCTGGATGTACACTTGTTGCCATTCTTTGTCAACATATATTTTGAATACATATGTGGAGTCTTACTGAATGTTTCCACCCGGGAGTGGAATTGAATTTGGCATCCCGTGCCATCACTGTCTGCCTGGTACAGCACAGACAGTTGTGAAGCAGTTTCCACAGAAAAGTCTCTCAGAAAACAAGCACCACGCTCACCGTGCTAGAGAGAAGTTGTATCATTTCAACTGCAACCTCTTTGCTGGCTGGATGGCTCTGTTCCTCCCAGGCTTTGGGCACACATTGCAGAAGTCAGTATTCTGTTCTTGCTCCATTAGCTCCTCCTCAACTGCCCAGACGGAACCTGCAGGCTTGGTGCAGAGCTGCCAAGTCCTGCTCAAGTGCAGAAATCTTGATGGTAGTAGCACTTAATACTGATGAGCCATAAGATGCTCATACAAGGTGCTTCCGACAAAGGAAACTCAAAGCATTTTAACAAATTCAGTAAGTTTCCAAACACCACCTTTGCAAAGTCCTGGAACAGTCATTTGTATTTTATGGAGAGAAAACTGAAGCACAGCAATTTGTTCAAGTTGACCCAGTAGGCAACTGACAGATGTAAACACGAGTTGCAATTCCCCACTGACTTCTGAACGTATTAATTAACACCATGAGGGACCAGAAGTAATCCCTTGGCATTACTTTATGTAGTCCTGGACATGCAGTTCATCTGTAGGCATCTTCATTCCTTGACTGCAAAACTAAAACAGATCAAAAGTGCAGGTGCATCAGTGCACTAATGTATTCACTATTACAATGTATTTTGAAGATGAAATTGTTGTAGTAACTGAAAAACAAAGATAAAACTGGTGCATTTTATAAGAACAAACACTTCCTGGTAATAGGCATGTTATAAACAGATGCACTAGGCTACATAACATCTAATTTTTACCAGCTTTACAAAAAGAATTGTAGAACTCACAGTTTTTAAATCTACTGTACAAAGATACAGGAAAAAAAAAGCCATGTTAATAAATGATGACCTATAAATAAATCCCACTAAAAGTGATATGCAAATTCTAGATATGAGTAAAACTGATTATTTCAAGGTTTAAACTCTTTATTCCCAAGTATTACCATTTCTGGGAAAATAATGTTTATTTCATCAGTATATTTTCCACCTGGTTTTAATGACGATCATCAACATGATTTCTGTTTGCTGCTTTGGTTTTGTGTTTGTTTTATGGAAAGCAAGTAAAGCAAAACTTTTAGGAGTGTCCAGGTTTCAGTTTTAGTAAGCACTAACCATCATGTGTGCATCTGTCCAACACAACATTACAAAGTTCCCTGACAGTTTTGGGTTCTTTCATAAAAGAGCTATTAATACATATTTAAGGGTTACTACTTTTGTGGCAATTATTCACTGTGGCTTCGACAAGAAGAGACTCCAGTAGATCACTAGATCTCAACATTTGTCATGCCAGAGTGGTATGAGATTGCTAGGTAGAGAATCAGAGGTACTATGTTTCAGCAGGATTACTTTGGCAACTTAGAATCACAGAATCATTAAGGTTGGACAAGACCACTAAGAACACCACCATCCCATCCCCACCATGCCCGCTGCCCACGGCTCTCAGTGCCACATCCACACGGTCCTCCAACACCTCCAGGGACGGTGACTGCACCACCTCCCTGGGCAGCCTGTGCCACTGCCTCACTGCTCTTTCTGAGAAGAAATTCTTCCTCATACCCAACCTGAACCCTCCCTGGTGCAACATGAGGCCATTTCCTCTCATCCCATCATTGTTACCTGGGAGCAGAGGCCAATCCCCACCTCACCATACCTCCTTTCAGGCAGCTGTAGAGAGCAATCAGGTCTCCCCTGAGCCTCCTCTTGAGGCTCATCCAGACTGAACAATCCCAGCTCCCTCAGCTGCTCCCCATAAGACTCATGCTCCAGATCCCTCACAGCTTCATTGCCCTTCTCCGGTCACACTCCAGGGTCTCGATGTCCTTCTTGTAGTGAGGGCCCAAAACTGAGCAAAGCACTTGAGGTGTAGCCTCACCAGTGCTGAGCACAGAGGGACGACCATCTCCCTGCTCCTGATAGCCACACTATTTCTGATACAAGCCAGGATGCCGTTGGCCTTCTTGGCCCCTTGTGCACTCTGCTGGCACACTTTCAGCTAGCTGCTCACCAACATCCCCAGCTCCTTTTTTTCCCCAGCTTTCCAGCTGCTCTGCCCCAAGCCTGCAGCCCTGTATGGGGTTGCAGTGGCCAAAGTTCAGGACCCAGCACTTGACCTTGTTGAAGCCCGCACAACTGCCTCAGTCCATCGAACCATCCTGTCCAGAAACCCCTGAAGAGCCTTCCCACCCTCAAGACCAACACTTCCTCTCAGTTTGGTGTCACATGAAAACGTACTGAGGGTTGGTCCCCTTGCCGAGATTATCAATATAGATATTAAATGGGGTCATCCCCAACACAGATCCATGGAGAACACCACTTGTGACTGGACACCAAGTGGATTTAACTCCATTCACCATCACTCCCTGTGCCCAGCCACCCAGCCAGTTTTTTGCCCAGAGAAGAGTACACCAAATGGGATGAAATTTGCAGCATGTCACACTGTAACACGGTGCAAAAATCTCAGTGCCAAACAGGGCTCTTAAAACTGGTTTACCAATTAGAAAGCTTACAAACTCATGTCTGCTTAATCTTTTTGAATCATAACTTCCCATCCATTTTGCACACCTCTACCCACATGCCATGATTTCTGTTTCCAGGGTTTTTGGACAAAGAGGTGATGTGGCATACAGCACAGCAAGCCAGGGGAGAGGTGGAGGACAAGAAAGATTTGCAGTGGTGCTCAGCAAAGCATATCAGCTGTGGGAAGGAGAGGAATCGGATCAACATTCGGGTGACAGGTCAGCCTGATGGTAAGAGGTCAACCTTCCTAACCACAGCCTGATGGCCTTGTTTCCTTTAGCCATGCGCTGTAACTGAGATTCAACTGAGATTAAAAGCATCCCCTAGGAAGACTGAAAAAAACAAAACCAAAAAAATTAAGACGCTCATCGGCAACGCCACCTGGGCTGCGCGGCGATCAGCGCGCATGCGCACAGGGTGACGCGCAGGGGATAGGGCCGGCGGGGCGGCCGGCGCTCGTGACGTATGCGGGCCGTAGCCAATAGGAAAGCGGCGAGGGCGCTCACGAGGCTGCGTTCCCCATGGCAACGGCCGGCCTGTAGTCATAACCGCCCCAACGGCCGCCTGGGCTGCCGCGTCGCCATGGTGAGTGCCGGGCTGTGGCGCTGCCGCGGGGCGCGGAGCTCTGGCTGGCCGGCTGACCGCGGAGCTTGCTTTATTTCCTCGCGTTGCCTTTGCTCTCGAGCTCCGTGCTCCGTTTCCAGCCCTGAAGGACACGTTGTCCAGCTGCAGACCTGTGCGTTCCTTTCTGCTTCTTTCAGTGAGTGCTCTCTATATGCTCCCATCCTTGTCCGCAGGCGGAGCTGGGCCTTAACGAGCACCACCAGAATGAAGCCATCAACTACATGCGCTTTGCTCGTTTCAAGCGTGGCCTGTGTCTCAAAACAGTGGATTCGTGCTTCCAGGACCTTAAGGACAGCAGGTACCTGGGGGGGTCTGTGTTGTGTGGTAGGATGGAGCATAAACACAACCAGCTCTAATGGAAACAACCACAGGTTGAAATGCTTTAGGGGATGGCTTCCTTACCTTACATTTGTATGTTCTTATTGATGAAGGAATGCTTTAATGGTTTAATTGCTTTAATGGTTTTAAGTTGAGGGAAGGAAGATTTAGGTTGGATGTCAGGGGGAAGTTCTTGACTATGAGAGTAGTGAAGTGCTGGAACAGCTGCCCAGAGAGGTTTGGATGCCCTCTCTCTGGAGGTGTTCAAGGCCAGGTTGGACGGGGCCCTGGGCAGCCTGGTCTGGTATTAAATGGGGAGGTTGGTGGCCCTGTCTGCAGCAGGAGGGTTGGAGCTTTATGAGGTCCCTTCCAACCCTGGCCATACTGTGGATCTATGAAGGAAGACCCAGTGATTTTTCCAAATGTTAAAAATCAAATCTTTTTAAAACTTAGTTATGTGAATTTTTAGAAGTTAACACAGGTAGTGTGACATTTCCTTATAGCTTTCTTCTGCTGTGTGCATTTCTGTAAGGAAATAATGTTCATTATTTTAGTGTTACTGACAGAAAATGTAAAGACAACAACTAGCTACTAATCTCATTAATGACTGCTGACAGTGGACATCTTCAGGAGGCTGCTGCGTTACATACAAGTAATATCTAATGTGGTGAGGTCTCATAACAGTGCAAAATCTTTCTTTGTCAGAGGTGACTCACCTTGAATTCTCCATTCAGGCTTGTTGAGGAGACCTTCACAGTTGATGAGGTGGCAGACATGCTGGATGGGCTGCAGACCATTGTGCACAGTGAAGTGGAGTCCGAGCTCATAAATACAACGTACACCAATGTTTTACTTCTGCGCCAGCTCTTTTCACAGGCTGAGAAATGGTACCTTAAGTTACAGACAGACATCTCTGAATTGGAGAATCGGTAATGTATATTTGGCCATATAGAATGTCTCCCAATAACAAAAAGACCTTCCAAATATTGATTATCTGCATGCTTTTCCTATCCATAGAAGCCTATGCTTTTTCTCTTATATCAATGACAAATTAGTGTCAAGACTTCTATCAATAAGCTGGGGGGGGATGCATGAAACTTTCAAATTTGTCAGGTAGATGCTTTTATTGGTTATGTTTGTACTTGTTAATCAGTTGACAGCAGGTGGTAGGATTTAACTAAAAAGTACTTGTTGTGTATATCTTACAGTTCTGGTGCATTTTCCATACCATTGGATGACGTTATCTATTGCACTTATTGTACCTGCATGGGATTTCTGTACTTCTCACAAGGATCTTATGTGCAACAAAAAGCATTAGCCTGGTAAAATGTGTTTCTTAGCTTGGTTCATTCATTAAATAAATGCCTCCCTTTGCTTTTGTTTTCAAGAGAACTGTTGGAACAGGTTGCTGAGTTTGAAAAGTCGGAATTTACATCTTCAAACAAGAAGGTAGTTCTATTTTAAAATATAATAATATGGAGTCACGACAGCTGTTTGAAACAGTTATTTAGTGTTTCTTCCTCATGCTGAAAATAGCAAAAAAGATATTCAGAGTAATCTTAGAAGTCTTCAAATAGCATTTTACAGTTCAGCACCAAGGCTCACACCGAGTTGCCTTAGCTGCTTCCAGACTGCAGATGTTTTGCACTCTGGCGTGCCTCATAATCCTGATCCCAGAGTCAGTCAGACCAGGGATGTGTTGGAGCCTCTGCTCCTGGGTTCCCTTCCCCTGCAGGCTGGGGTGAAACTGGGACAGGTAAGTGTGCTGGGCTTTGTCCCAGCCTGGGGGACCTTCACCCTAACCCTGCAGAACAGATGTGACTCTAGCTTATCTTGCGTGATTAGCAGTGTAGTATATTTGTTTTGTAGCTTAAGTGTATATTTAGTTAATATGTATTTGAATACTTAAAATAGTAATTAAGATTATTTTGACATCTGAAATTATTATTATTATTTTTTTTACTTACAATCAATAAAAAATTTTTTCTCTCTTCTGAACTCTTCTGTCCTTTGGTGGTTATGGATCAGTAGCCTTTTGTAAATTCAGGTTTGCACACCCTTTCTGACTATATACAGTATTGTTGTTGAGCTTTAGCTGAATATGTAATTTAAGAGCCAAGGTACCACTAAAAATGAAACTGAAGTAAAAGATGGTTCATTTGGTTTGTAAAAGAAAATTGAATGGACTGTTAATAGTTATTTTACAGACTAAATGAATAGTTCTCTTCCTTCTGTATAATCTAATGGTTTAACCTCTGTTATTTCTTTAGCCCAATGCAGAGCTCATTAAACCAAAACTGGCTCCCATAAATGAAGGAGGGTCAGAGCTGCTAAACAAGGTAAGAATTTGTCTCTTGATTCAGAGACTGGCTGCCCAGGGCCCCATCCAACCTGGCCTTGAACACCTCCAGGGATGGGGCATCCACAACCTCTCTGGGCAGCTGTTCCAGCACCTCACCATCTCATTGTCAAGAACTTCCCCCTGACATCCAACCTAAATCTCCCCTCCCTCAACTTACAACCATTTCCCCTTGTCCTGCTGTTATCTACCCTTGTAAAGAGTTGGCTCCCCTCCTGTTTGTAGGCTCCCTTTAGGTATTGAAAGGCTGCAAGGAGCTGCAAAATATTTACCTGCCTATTGATTGAAAATACAAGTGATAAGCAGCAATGAGAACTGCATGTCCAAATGCGCAGTTTGGTTTACTGGGAATCTTGATACTCACAGGAGAGTGACTGCACCATTCCCAATTCAGTAAAATAAGGACTAATTTTAAGTGAGAGGACTTACAGGTTACAGCAGAACTGGAGACTCACATTTCTTGCTGACAGAGGCAGGAAACAGTGATTTGCAGGATAGGCTTTAGGAAGAAATCAGTAGTCCGTATCAGCAAGGCCATTTTTATAAGCATTTACAAGTGTGATTGCTTTCATAAGCCATGAAACATTTTCTTACTGGAAGTATTTGGAAAATTCAAAATAGCACGAGTCTGTAAACTCTCTCTTTTTTATTTACCCAAAGACAGTTGCTTGTCTCCAAGAAGAAAATGAAAAATTGAAGACCAGACTTAAGACAATAGAAACACAGGTAAATTTCCTGTAAGCTTGGATGCTTACTGCTGGTTACATATTATTAAAAAATCTAAATAAGAATTCCATGGCTATTATTTTCATATTTTCAATTAAAATACACATATGAGGCGTTACATTTTCCGTGTGTTACAGGCTACAGCTGCACTAGATGAAAAATCCAAACTAGAGAAGTCCCTGAAGGATCTGCAGATGATCCAGGGAGATCAAAAGGTAAATATAAGCAGTGATTGGGGTACAAATCCTAGTGTTTTACACTATTGCCCACGTTGGTCTGTGTGGTATGTTTCTTTTCTAGCAGGTACAGAACTTCAGGTTAGTATTGTCGTGTTCCTGCAAGCACTGTCACACTCGTGCTGCTCTGTCAGTCAGCAGATAATGCAGTCTGCTGGTTTATTATATGACATAGGTTTTGTGCCCAATAGACCACGCTACATTCTTACCAAAGTATTATTCCAGGTACTGTCACAAAGTAGTAGTCCAGAGTTGATACTCTCAAGAGCAATGCCTGTATTAACAGATACAAATACATTCTTGTGTTCCTTCCCACTTAATCTTTTTTATGGCAACAGTAAAACACTAATTCTTTCAAACATACCAATCAATCAACAATATCAATATCAACATGGACTTGCTTCATCTCAGTTCAGACTTTATAAACCCAAATGCTTACAGATGTGTTCTGATCCCATATTCCTGAAGATTAATTGAAGTTTTGCTACAGATATCAGTGAGCATGGGTCAGATGACAGAGGTTGATCATCTTTCTACTACTTGAAGCTGTTAGCCTTTTCTATAAATGTTGATTCAGGCGTAGTGATTATTTGCTGCAGAAAAAGGCCTAAAAAATTAACACTCATGTAAGTTGGCACATAAATCCTTTCATGTCACATTGGTATTTTTGTCTGTACCCTTATTTTGATAATCAGAATTTTCTAAAGTGTGTCAATTTATAGTTGTTTCTTAAATCTAAAGCATTTCAGTGCAAACTTTTAACAAAATTAGAACACTTTAATCCCAGCCTTTTGAGAGCCTTTTTGAATTCCAGCTGTATTGACAGACTTGAAATTCAGTGTCATAAAACATTTCCACTTTGATTTTTCTCATTTTAATCTTCATTTCTTTTTATTTTGCTTACTCACTGGTTTATGGTATGTACTTATTTTTCTTAGTACTTTTCAGTTATATCTAATAACTTTCAAAATCTGTATTCAGTAATACTGTTTAATAGGGAACTTGATATATCCAATCAGGGCAAATGTTTTCTTTATCTGCTTTTTTACGCCTTACATTATTAAAGGTTTACTATTAAAGGATTTTATTAAATCCTGGACATTGGTGCTTGCTGTTTTAAAAGATTGGAAGCAAATCTCTTCCTACTTTGCTGGTTAAATCTGAATTTGCCTGAATGTCAGGGCAGCCAAGTACCTGCAGCATTCATGTTCAAACTTACTCTCTCCTCATCTGTCACTTTCTTCTCCAGCTTTCACTCTGTATTGCTGTGTGCGTGTATGTAGTTGAAACTAGCCAGGAAATACAGTGCTAATGTATAGAACTTAATTTAATTAATGAGTGTATTAGTTATTTGGAGAAAATGCTACGTTTTGTCTGGTTTCTTCTCATGTCTTTATGAGATGGGTGACAATACAATCATACGAACCCAGATGCACGTTAAGGAGCAGTTCTCAGCTTCTGTAGACAAACAAATGACTGCTGAGTCACAGCTTGTTTTAGTTCAGCAGACTTTTCTTCTGGTTTTTAACAGTTTAATAAGGTTCCACAGGCCAAGTGTGTTCCACACGAGGGGAGCAATGATTCTGGTGGATCAGGTTAGCAGAAGGACGTAGAATTTTTTTGCATCATTGTCTGATTTCAGTGGTACAGTTCAGAACAGATGGGGATCATTCTGACCCCAAAGTGTGATGCTTTTCAGCATCACAGTTTTGAACTCAGTCCCAAAATTCAAAATTCACTTTTTTCTGTGCAGGTACCATTATCAGTTGGTGTCTTACACTGAATACAAAGGAGCAGAGCTTCCTTAGTTCTAGATTTCTGTTCTTTTTAAGGTTCTGGTAGTTGAGCCTCATCCTGAGTCACTGTATTTTTGCAAGTATGAAGTTTACCTTTTGTACCTGAGAGTGATTTTTTCAAATGGAATCCACAGAACAGTTACACAGTACGTTTTGTTACCTGGGACTGATTGCCAGAAGAGTTTGGGTTGTTTCATGTCATAAGGATGTGAAGATTCCTCTTGAACAGTGCAGCATCAGTACCTGACTGCTAACATGGTCCTTAACACTTTCATCCTTCCCTTCATGTGGTATGTTTCATCATGTGGTTTCACCTCACATCTAAAGAAGGGAAACACAAGATCTTGAAACCTCAGCTGGGCAGAGGAGCCATTTCAGCTGTCTGAAAAATGCATTTATTTACAAGTTGTTGTTGTTATTTGCGTTAAAAATTACCCAGTGCTTTAACCAACTTTGTTAGTTAACTTCCTTTGTTAAATGACTTTCTCACTGTAGCACTTTTAGTTTGTGCTTTAGAGGAACAGGGCAAACGTAAGTCATAAAAATTAAGGTGTACCCATTTCTGTGGAGTTTTGCATCTGACACTTCAAATATTCTTTTTCATTTACCGTACTTTAAATATTTCTTCTTTTGAAGACTGATGTAAACAAGGATATCGTTGAACTGGAGAATAAAGTGGCAGCTTTGAAATGTCAGTTTGAGAAGACTTTGAGTGATTCTACTGCAAACCAAAAGTTCCTGGAAGAGAACTTGGTGACAACAAAACATGACTTGCTTAAGGTTCAGGATCAGCTATCCACAGCTGAGAAGGTTGGCATTTGATTGTAATGTAAAGCTCCTTACTCACTTTTTACCTCATTAATAAGTGAACAAGAACACAGAATTTATTGGGTCACGTTTGTTACTTAATTTTCATTGTTTACTACACATTTTTGTTACTTCATTGGAAACATGTTATGTGTAGAATAGCAAAACCAGAGTGAACATCATGATTTTAATGAAATAACACTTAAAAACTGTATGTGTGTTTGCATAGAAACTTTTAACTTAGAACAGTGTTCCCAGTCTTCAGAAGATTTGTTGTCTGATTTCCATAGAAAATGAGACTTGTGTTTGTCCTTCCCACTGATGTCCTTTAAATCTACCAGCTGGTTTCATCTACGTTTGGATAAGGAATAGAACTACTGTTTTGAAACTTGAGGAGGAAAAGCTCATATTTTAGAAAATGTATTAGCCTGGTTTTGACAACGTGTAAGTAATATGTTGGTGCTATTATGTAGGAGTTAGAGAAGAAGTTTCAGCAAACAGCTGCCTACCGCAACATGAAGGAAATTCTTACTAAGAAGAACGAGCAGATAAAGGATCTACGAAGAAGGCTTTCCAAGTAAGTGCTGTTCAGTCTGTCTGAACAAGATCCACATTCTGCTCCTTTACATGCTTTTATAAATACAAAACTCTCTAAAACCAGACTACAAAATTTCCCTTGGATTTCTAGTAGGCTGTTCCCTGGTTTTTGAAAAGCCAGTCCTTAATAGCTGGATGTTAGGTGTATGGGATTGAGTTGTGCCTACATGACATGAGTGAGTGTGGTAGCTAACCACAGCAGCAGCACAGAGGTACAGGTGGGATGTGTACCAGCTACTTTGACATTGTCTTATTTCTTCCACATTTCTTTATGGGAATGATAAATGGCACAGTATGTAAGCAAGGTTAGGCTCATATTGAGTAAATAAGGATATGTGCTGGCCTTGTATCAGGTAGGAAATTGTCCTTCTGCAAATGGCAAGTGAGCACTGGCAACATGGATGCCTTAGATGTGTTCTGTAGGAGGACAGAGGTGGAACTTCTAAACTTCTGTTTGTATACTGGGATTTGTGAGTAGAGTCTTATTCATGCTTTCAAGCTACTATTTGGTAAACTGGCCAATTTTAAAAGCAGAAAGTACTCTGGAAAATATATAATATTGTACTGTCTGTGCCCTTAGGCACTTGTTGAATCTTGACAGGGCTGCACCACTAGTGGGAGCAATTCATTACTTAGGTTTCATATTTTCGTTAGAGACCAAGTGTCTCTCAGCTATTTTCTACTCTGTTTTGATTTGATTTTATTTTTTTTATCCTCAGATATGAGCCAGAAGACTGAGCTACCAAAAGCTGACATAGGAAGAGCATGGAGAGTGGTGTTATTTTTAATCAAATTTTGTTTAAAATAATGTACAATTTGCTTCTAGTGCTTAAAATAACTTTCTATGAATACTAAAAGGATGCTGAAACTTCTACCCTTCCTTATAAACCCATTGTTTATTACTCTTAGTTTCTGTAGTCATGTTTTAAGTTAATCGTCAACATTCCTTGAGAAATAACAAGCAGCATCTTATTGAAGATCTGAGGTGATTCTTTACAAAGAAAGGAATTTATTTTTGTTAAGAAAAGGGGGGGAAAAAAAAGTATTAGGTTTTTAGTGGTGTCTCTGAGGTGAAAACTGGAGTGGTTTTATGAAGTATGGTTCATGTAGCCGTGAAGTGGCATTGTTTGTGAAAACTGTGTTGGTAGCAGTAAAAAGTAGGAGGGAAGAAGGAAGAAACATGCTGATTCTATAGCATAAATTCACACTGAGTGTCTGATCTCTCTGCAAAATGTGGCCAGTAACATTTTGCTAGAGGCTATTTGTTAGGTAGTGAGAGAAATATGCTTCACAGGAGAAGCAGTGGACTCTTTAAGGGGGGAAAAAAAAACCAAAAACAACACTAATTGGAGCTATGCTCTTTCACTTTATTTGAAACAAATGTTCACATTAGGATACAGATTCTGATTTTCTTCATTACTTTTGATGTTAAAGTGACAATCTGAAAAAGCATGAGGAAGTGGCTTATAGAACAGCTTTCTTAAGAAATAAGTTATTGTAGATGTTTTCACCTCCTTTCTTATTGTAACCTCACTGGAAAACAGTTTACTCAAGCCTTCAGAGAAGACCTTGTATTTAGCTGACAGCCTCTTCATAGTGCATTGTACTTACTTGTTTTTTTCTGTTCATATGTATGTTGTATGTTACTCTAAATAAAACCATTATGTTTTAAATTATCCAATCTTTAAGGAGCTTTATTTGGATAGGGTTGCTTTAAATATATTTTTAAATACTCTTAAATACTTGTAGAAAATAGCAGCAGATCAGTAAAAGCCTTGCTAGTAATATAAAGGTGGAAGTGACAGGTCCATGCCAAATTCTACAGCCCATCAAACAGCTCCAAGAGAAGTGTTCCAGTAGCAGGGCTGGGAAGAAATCTTTGGGTTAGAGATTAGCTGATGTTTACAGTGCTTGTCTCGGGAGCTGCTTGAGCTGAAATGGATCCTTTTCCTCACTCCTTTCAGTGGCTAGAGCTGTTGACATTGCTCTTGTAGTCATGCCACAGGCAAATCTGCCATGTGAGTTCTTTTGCTGCCCTTTTTCCACCGTGGTTAAGAAAGCCAGGAGTGGGATGGACTTCTGTGTCTGCAGCATACACTGACATACAAGGTCAGTTAAATTCAGAAGGTATTATTTTGCACAGTAATTAAATGTTATTTTCTTAATAGAGAGCTTCCTGCCTTGTGTTTTCTCAGAGCAGTTATTTTGACACCAATGCTTGTGTGGACAAATACTGTATTTTCCTTTGCAATGAAACTCATTTTAACAAGATCAGTTACTACTTCTAAAACAAAAGGGAAGAATGCTGTTTTTGGTGTTTGGGTTTTGGTTGTTTGTTTGGTTTTTTTTTGTACATCCTTTGCTGCTGACTTTGCTAGAACATTGAATATCTGATATGCTTTCTTTATCTGCTTAAAAACTCTTCAGTAGGAATGTATGTTCTCAACTGCAGTACACGCATAGGTCTCAGTAAGATTAGTTGGCCATAGGATATCATGACTACAGACCTTATTATCTCAATGAGAAAGGCAAATCATACAGAGAATTGTGCAGTGCAGAATCGAAGCACCAGCTTTGATAACTTATCTTGCAGATTTCCAGTTTAGTGAATATGAGATTAGTATGATTGCTCAGTTATTAAGAGAAAGGGTTCATTTGCAGCTCCTGATAAAAATGTATTATCTGTCTGCCTGCCAAATACCTGAGCGTTATACAACAGCAATTCCCTTTTTGCTGAGATAGGCACAAAAATCTGAACATTCTAAATAATAAACAATAATCTAACATTTCTAAAACTTTGTTTCTTTTTCTACAGTGTAAATCCTAATACTGCTTTCGCTAGCCTTTGTTCTTGGAAGTCCATTGTACTGCTCAAGTGTACATTTTCTGTTTCCTTCACTCCAGCTGTTAATCCCCCAGTTATGCCTGAAGGAAATGTTTAAAAAGAGGATTTCTCCATAACTGGCTGATCTGCAGGAATCCACTCTCTTTCAAGTCAGTTGGGGTTTTGGTTTTTTGGGGTTTTTGGGTTTTGTTTTTTTTTTTTTGGTTGGTTGTTTTGGTCTGTTCTGGTTTTTTTGTTTTTTATTTTTTGTGGGTTTTTTTTTTTGGTCTGTGTTGGGTTTTCTTTCTTGCCAAACTGAAGCATGTTTTCTATGGGAACAAAATCTAGGCAGCTCAGTTTTGCTAGTATTGAGTGTGACAGCCAACAAATAACCCTGCGCTGTAACCGTGATGTGAGCGCAGCAGTTGGTCGTTAATAGATGAGCCAGCAGTGCTGCATGCTACCTTCCTAATGAGACACTAATATTGCCCAGTGTTCTTTAACTGTTCGTAAAGTAGTCCTTAATCTGTTTCTCTCTTTTGGATAATATACTGATTTCCTAATGTCATAAAATGAATATCTGTACGTAACACTTAAACTGCAACTGCTTCTCTTTCATTTAATAGGCTGATGTCAGAACAGCTGCAAGTTGTACATTTCCCACATACCTTGCTTTTGGGATGTGCTGCAGAGACGCAGTGATGAGCTGGTGGAGTAATTGCAATCCTGCCATCCTGATCTCTGCTTGGGGAATAACTGTAATCTCTGACTACACAAAAGACAACCAACCTGTGGTTATTGTGGCATACAGGTTCTCAAAGATCTAGAAATCTAGCAGGATGCTTTCTCTCTCCAAAAGAAACATGGAGCTTAGAGTAGTCACTGTGAACAGTATATCCAAGCAGAAAGACACTGGAGCATGTGCTACCACATGTGAGAGCTGCTGCTAGCTTAGCTGTGTACATGCTTGATAGGCTATGGAATGGCTTGGGTTGGAAGGAACCCCAAGGTTCACAAAGTTTAACATCTTGCCACAGACAGGGCCTCCAATTTCCAAATCTGGTACCAGACCCTGTCTGTAGAGACTCCTCTGGTGCTTCTTCATGGTAGTCCTCTAACATGCAGCAGGCAGCGTACTCCACTCAGAATGGAGTGCCTCCAGGAAGGGCAGGTGCTGAACAGCAGGCATGGCCCTCTCCCACATCTTGCTGACAAAGGAAAGCCCACCACAAGAGATAGGACAATATCCCATAGATTTGAAAAAACTAAATGTTGAGTGTAGTTTAATAAAATGCAGACCAGCAGGTAGTAGAATTATCTAGGAACTGTTCTATATCAGACTTCTTTAGCTGCTTCTTTTTACTCCTTCCCTGATTTGTCTCTTTCTGCAATATAATGAAATAAATCTTCTCTCCCAGTCTAGAATCATGGTTTCCTATGACTAGGAACCTATGACTAGGACACCAGGCTCCCTTCTGGTCTGCATTTTAAGGAGCTGGGAGAAGTACTTCTTACTGTACTGGCATTAACAGGTGCAAGCCCGTGGTTGGTACCTTTACCAAGTAAGGTTATTTTACTGTATGAGAAATGGGGTTCTCTTCTCTGTTTATCAGTTTGTGATTCGGTTTACCTGGGGCAGTTTTCATGTTGTCCCACTAGTCCCTGCACTGCTCTGCAGATGAACCCCTATCCTTTCTCACCTCTCCTCCAGACTCCTAACTCTTGAGTCTGTTAGATACAGGGGACGTTGTTAATTGTTCTTTTAACAAACGTCAGCAATTAAATAATAAAAAATTCTTGTGTATCTATTAGAGACCTCTGTCCCTCCAGATAAAGCAAGAGACCTCACCCAACCCAAAGAAGGGAAATGCAAAGAAGATAACATTTTGATTGCATAAGAAATAGCATCTGGGTTATCTGAGGTGCATGTGGAAAGTCCTACAGCAAGATATTGAGCTCTGTTTATAATACTGGCATTCAGGAGAGAAGCAATGATACATTTTGTTGCATTTGAACTTTCTGATCTGGCCTGAGCTGTGCTAAGGGCACCACACCTCTTTGCCTGCACAGCCTTTCATGTCAACTAGTTTGAAATGTAATGGGGAGGAGGGGCAGAGCCAAAGAAATGTTTAACTTGATTGTCCTCATCAGTAGCAGTAATCTATTCACACAAAAGCATCCCAAGTGCTAGCAATGTGCTATTTTTAAGGCTCCCCTTCCTGTGAGTTAGTTATTAAATGCTCTAAGTTATTTATAAGAATCATTTGTAACAAACACCACAGGCAGCGAGGGACATTTTGGTTTTCAATCACTTACAGTAGTTTGCATGGTGTGAGATAGTTAACTGTAGCTGGAGCTTCTCCGTGTGTCCTTCAGTTTAGTGGCTTTCAGCCCTAATTTTTCCCCAGATTTTTCCTTTCAGCAGAATTTGGAGTTACCATGTAATGTATTTCCGGGGTGGGTCATCGCCTTGCACTCTGCAGGCAAGGCAGGCACGTCAGGGATGTTGCACAAGAAGCATCAGCTCCCTCAAACTGTACTGTGGAAAGGCCTGGCAAAGCCAGGCGCTAACCCAGTGACCACCTCAGCACTCAAACACACCATGCAAACTGTTTTCATTCATGTGAGATGCATAAATCTCTCACGGTCACCTTTTGTGGTTGGCCGACAGCAGCCAAGAGGGTGTTACTTGTAAAGTGGAACTAAAAGGGGCCCAGTCCTGCCCTGAAAGGAGACACATCTTTAGACATCTGAAAAGGAAGCTGAGTCCTTGGACTTGTTCAGCCCATTTTTATTGCTGGAGATGCTGCTAGTCGCTTCCTTTGCTGCAGTGCTTGAGCTCAAAGTGTACCTTGGCAGAAGCCCAAGCACACAGGGTTCACCTCCAGGCCTGGCACTTCAGTGCACCTTCTGGCAGCCCAGGGACCTCTTCGGGCCTTCTGCCTCCACAGTGGGCCACATTTTCCCAGTGGCCTCTCTCTGTCTGCTTAAAAAACTGCTTTAAATTAACAGCCCCTTGGAAACATTCATCTGCAGCAGAGGGGTTTGGGCGTGAAGGGAGAAGAGCCTGGGCTGTGGCTCAACCGAGTGCTGGACTAAAGGCTGGAGACCTGCCTGGGTGGCAAGGACACATCTGGGGCTGCTTCCAGATGCCCAATGACCTCCTGAGGACAACGGGCACTTTTAAGTAACAGCCAGCTCTGACAGTCACTGCAACCAGCCCTGATGGTGCAGAAACATCTTCCCCATGTGGATCCGGGCACACAGACATCACACACAGAGAAGGCAGCCATGTGGAGAAGCCTTTTTCACTGTCCCAAACCAAGCTGCAACCCAACCGTTGCTCCCTTCCACTGTCAAGTCAGCACGTGAGCAATGAAAATCCCTGGGCTCGCCTCCTTCCCAGAAATGCCCTTCAAAGCCCAGGCAGCTATTCACCCCAAGTATCAATTTTATAGTGCTGTGTGTGTGTCTATAATCTATTTACCAGCATTCCTACTTCAGTATGTGCCTGTTAATAAGATTAGTAATTAAAAAGCTTGATAGGAATTGGCAAGCATGCCTCTGCCTTGCCCTCCCCTCACAGCCAGGCTGGTGTGGAGGCGGCGCATGGCTGGCAGAGCACCTGTGGGCCGGCAGCAGCAACAGGACGGCTGCCCACCTGCAGGACATGGAGAAGGCCCGGCCGCTGTGGGACAACCCCTTGCAGTTTGTTTTCGCCTGCATCTCTTATGCCGTGGGGCTGGGGAATGTCTGGAGGTTCCCATATTTGTGTCAGATGTACGGTGGAGGTAAGTGCAGTTTGCATTTCTCACTTTCTGCCTCTGGAAGTGTGATGATGAGCTCCAGAGG